TTGAGCCCCTAGGCCCCCCCCCCACGATGCATGCAGCCCCGTGATAGAGAGTAGCCGCTGTATTCTATTGTAGCTTTTTTGTTGTTTTTTATTTAATTTATTTAATTTATTTTTTTATTTATTTATTATTTTTATTTATTTTTTTATTTATTTTTTATTTTTTTGTTTTTTATGCGTTTTTTTGTTAGTTAATGGGAGAAGGAGGAGGGAGCCGTTGCTGCTGCTTGCTGATTCTCTCTATACTTATAAACACTATTTTATTTTTTATTTGTTTTTCTTTCTTTTTCTTTTTTTTATTTTATTTATTTTATTTATTTTATTTTTATTTTCTTCTTTCTTTTGTTTTATAGTTTATGGCGCTAACACAGCACCTAAACACAAGCATTGTTCTATCCTTTTGTGTATTGTCTATCTATTCTTTATTTTTTATTTTTTTATTTTTTTTGTTTTTTTGTTTGTGTTTCTGCATCTCTCTCTGTTTGTTTATTTATCGCCGTTTATATATATTTGTTTTTTTGTTTTTGTTTTTGTTTTTATCTCCTTTTGTTTTTATTTTTTTTTTCTTTTTGTCTCTGTCTCTATCTATCTATCTATCTACTTCTTTATTTGTTTTTGTTTTTTTCTCTCTATCTATCTATTTCCTTATTTGTTTTCGTTTCTCTCTATCTATTTCTTTATTTATTTTATATATTTCATCTTTTTAATTTTTTTAGTTTTACGTTTTATACCTTGCTGGTGCAGCAGCAGATGCTGCTGCTGCTGCTGCAGCTGCTGCAGCTGCTGCAGCCGTTGCTGCAGCTGCTGCAGCCTTTGCTGGAGCTGCTGCTGCTGCTGCTGCTGCAGCTGCTAGTGCTGCAGCTACTGCAGCAGCTGCTGCTGCAGTCTGTTGCTGGAGCTGCTGCAGCTGCTGCTGCAGCTGCTTGCTGCTGCTGCTGCAGCAGCTGCTGCTGCGGTCTCTCTAGGAAAACGAGATGAATAACCTGTTTCTATCTTTTTGTTAATACACAAACATACAGCACGTATGCATGCAGCTGCTTGCTGCTGCTGCTGCTGCTGCTGCTGCTGCAGTTGCTGCTTGTTGCAGCTGCTTGCTGCTGCTGCTGCTTCTGCAGTTGCTGCTTGTTGCAGCTGC